TCTCTCTCTCTCTCTCTCTCTCTCTCTCTCTCTNTNTNTNTTTCTTTCTTTCTTTTTGCTTTTTTTTCGTTCGCGAATATTTCCATTGCATGAACAGCTATTTATATTTATTCCTCCTTTCCTTGGCTCGGTGAGGATTCTGGTACTACTATGCTACTAGGTATGTAGGCAGATACCTACCAATTATTTTCTTTTTTTTTTGTTTGGCCTTGTCTAACAGAGTAGAATCAGTTGATGTATATCGTACAGTAGCTCTGGTACTTCAGTGATGTCCATCCATATGGTATGTTTTAAGATTTTCTTTTCTTTTTCGAACAAAGACTGACTAGGAGATTCTCCTAGTCCTCAACTCATGTCTTTCCAGCTCAGGATATGAACTCGACGTATTTGGAATCGTTTGGCCTAACTATCTCCTATCTAGGTATGTGCATATATACTTTCTGGTACAATAAGGGAATCTATTTCTTTTTTTTTAAAAAAATTGGTTCTTTCTTTCTCTCTCTCTCTCCTTTTTTTGTCAATAAAAAGGTCAGATCTTATATGTGCTGTACATACATACTTGGCTTGGCTCCTGGTACAGTTCCACTCTGGTATCCATCTACCCGTAGTGACTACCCTAGGCCTTGGCTAAACCCTGAACTTCGGACTATCAGTCAACATATCAAGGCATTCACCTCCAAGAAAATTGTTTTTATTTTTTTCCCCCTGACGTTATTTCCCACGAGATCTTTATTTGATACCATAATATAAGGCGGACTTGCAGGTCGATGGGCTGGCTGACAACACCGCCGTGACGTAATGAGCTAGCGAAGCTTCTCCCGACGTCATGGCATGTCATGGCATGTCATGCTGTCATTGCATGGATCTATCTATCTAGGTTCAATAACAACAGTGATAATAATAATGATAATGGGGAAAGCAGCTGCATTATCTACTTACGATAGTGATAGGTACTGTATGACGACCTACGCCCGGCCGCAAAACGTATGATGCTTGCAGATTAGCAGATGCAGTCGGGTTTATAAGCTCGTCTCGATTGTGTTTGATTGATATTTGGTTTCTTCTCCTTTCTTCTCCATTCTTTTCCCTTTTTTGGGGGGATTCTTAATCTCCCGGTATTCATCTCTAGAGGTCTGCTTGCTGATCGCTGATCACTGCGCTTCCCTCTCGCTGGCTACACGATTATTACTTTTCCAATTGTGTAGTCTGGTCCAGTTCCTGCCCTAGCAGCCATGTCGTTGGCGCAACATGTAAGTCTGCACTGACTGTAATTCTGCATCCTCATGCTTGAAAGTTTCGATTGATTATTCTCCTTCAGATCGACCCCGACGAAATCATCCGCCAGGTACGGGACAATCCCGACAGCTGGAAACAACACCTCCACACCGAAAACGCCGTCACCAGCGTGACCCCCTACTCGACACGGTACGCAAGCAAGGAGAGCATCCCCAAATTCCGCATCCCGACCGAGGGCGCGCCCTCGCAGGTGGTCGCTCAGCTGCTGAAGGATGAACTGGATCTGGATGGGAAGCCGAATCTGAATCTTGCCAGGTTGGTAGAACCGAAGTCATGGGATTGTAGTCCCGGAATGTGGTCGCTGATTGTTTCTCAACGCAACAGCTTCGTTGGCACCTACATGGAGAGAGAGGCAAATGCCCTCGTTGCCGAGAACATTGCCAAAAACCTGGCCGATGCAGACGAGTATCCTGCCCTCATGGCGATGCATGCCCGCTGCGTGTCGATCATCGCCAACCTCTGGGGTGCGCAGAAGAATGAAAACGCAGTGGGCTCTGCAACGGTCGGCTCGTCCGAAGCCATCCATCTCGGAGGGCTGGCGATGAAGCGCAGATGGCAGGAAAAGCGCCGGGCTGCAGGCAAAGACACGTCTCGACCCAATATCATCATGGGCGCCAACGCCCAGGTCGCGCTGGAGAAGTTTGCGCGGTACTTCGAGGTCGAGCCGAGGATCCTCGACGTGTCTGAGAAGAGCCAATTCCGTCTCGATCCGGATCTGGTCCGACAGAACCTGGATGAGAATACCATTGGCATCTTCGTCGTTCTGGGCAGCACCTACACGGGTCACTTCGAACCCGTCGAGGAGGTTTCCAAGATCCTGGACGAGTTCCAAGCGGAAACCGGCCATGATATCCCGATTCACGTGGATGCGGCCAGCGGGGGGTTCGTCGCTCCGTTTACCCATGCGGGTGCTGGGCAGAAATGGTGTGCCTCTTTGCATCTTCCTATATATCTAGGTAACTGACTGTAGTTTCAGGAATTTTGAGCTCCCCCGCGTCAAATCCATCAACTCTTCCGGCCACAAATTCGGCCTGGTGTACCCCGGCCTGGGATGGATCATCTGGCGCGATCAATCGTACCTGCCCAAGGACCTGATCTTCGAGCTGCACTATCTCGGCGGCACGGAGGAGTCGTATACGCTCAACTTCTCCCGGCCGGGGGCACCGGTGATCGGGCAGTACTACAACCTGATCCACCTGGGCTTCAACGGCTACCGGGACATCATGGAGAGCTGCCTGGCGAATGCGCGCCTGCTGAGCAAGGCGCTCGAGCGGACCGGGTGGTTTACCTGCGTCAGTTGCATCCACCGCAAGAAAGAAGTGAAGAGCGTCATAGAGGCCGCGTTTCCTACGCCGTTGGAGGAGGAGACGTCGGCGGACTACGAAGCCGGCTTGCCCGTCGTGGCTTTCCGGCTGTCTGACGCGTTCAGGAAGAAGTATCCGCACGTGAAGCAGGAGAGCATCAGTATCCTGCTCCGGTCGAAACAGTACATCATTCCGAGTAAGTGGCCATCATTGCTGTCATCTCTCAAGAAGAGTATTCTAATCCGTAAAATATGACCTGCAGACTACCCCCTCCCACGCAAGGAGCAACACACGGAAATCCTGCGCGTGGTCGTCCGCGAGAGCATGTCTGCCGACCTCCTCGAGCGGCTCATCAGCGACATTGTGGCCGTCACGGAGAGACTGGTGGATTCCGATCCGGTGGACTTGTCGAGTCTGCAGATCCATCCCAATACTGTTGAGAAGTCGCGGTCTCGGTACAGAAGACATGGACAGCAGCAGCATGATCAACCGCGGAGTCGGCTGGGGGGTATGGGAGAGGGGATTCACAAGAGCGTCTGTTGATGCGTCGTAAAGGAATCTTCAGTTGACAAAATATAGTACTGTACAGTGTTGGAATTGGAATTGGAAGTTGGAAGGAAAAAAGAGACAATAAATATTTTTCTTTGGTATGATATGTCTGGGAAATTGAGCAGATGGTATTTAAAAAGCTCTCGTTAAGCAGCTATACTAGGAAAGCATAGCCAGACACAGGATTGATTTGAATATTGGCTGGAAGAAAACTTTGACCAGCATGCATCTGGAATAGAATTAGTTACTCCATACTCCAATCGAAACGAGATTGAAGGGGTTTCTTCTTCTTTTTCTTTCTTTCTTACTATGGATAACACGATATAGCTGAACAGCTAGCTGCTCAGCCATGTGACTTGTCTGACCGCCACCGAGTCAGGCGAGTCTGGCCAGAAAACATGGATAACAACAACCTAAATATTAGACTTGGTCCTTAGACCTGGTCCTTGGCTCTTGGCTTGATGGCGATTTAAGTGTTGGTGCACTATCAATGAGATAAGAACCTTAGTACCTCCATTATCACTGATCAATAGATCCGTCATACTCGAGTGCTGCACCTGTAAGAATGGTAGTTAGTACCAATTTACATCCGTCTTTTGCCTTGATTCTGCGATAAAAATAGCTGTTCAGTCTGTTCTACTCGTGCCTTTTCTCCGCAAACAGCTCCCATGTGTATACTATACGATCCACGTCAGCTGTCAGGCTGCAGTTGGACCTGTCGGATTGACAGGCGACGACCGTCACGCTCTCAACGCAGCTGCCTCCATGCCGGGCGGGGATGGCAGCCATTGGCTCGCGAACGGACAACGCAGCGTTGTTCCTGCGACGAGGCGAGAGATGGCGGTGATGCTCCGTCGTCGTTCTCAGCATGCCGGCTACTGACGGTGACTCCTCCCCCACACTCGGATGCGCTGACTCGTCTCCTGTCGCGGCACTCCTTGGCAGCTGGGCTAGCTGCATCCATTTATAAGGCTAGCCGTCCAAAAGAAGGAGATTCTCTTGAACGCAGCTCCCAGCGCGCGTCGTGCGGCCGGGTCGATCGGTGCGCAGGCGAGCGGCCATTCGCGCGGCATCCCCGCATGTGAGAGCGGGTCAGGCTTTCTTATCTTCTGCACGTTTCTCCTCCCAAACAACAAGATAAGACGCTCCACTTATCGTCCATCTCGTCCTTCGTGAAAACTATTTTATCACTCCCGCTGCGTTCGTTATCCAGATCCAGGCTCTCGTTATCACTATTTCGTCTCTCGTCTCCTCCCCCAGCCGGTGCCCCTCCTCCCACGAGGCTCCACTTGGATCCTTTTTTGGCCGGACGGATTCCCTTTTCTCTTCGCGCAGAATCCGTCGCCTTCCTGCCTCCTGGCCATGTCCATGTCTAGTCCATGTCGCACCCATTGGCATGGAAACCATTAAAATCCCTTCTCCCTCCGCCATTCTAGATCCTCCCCCTCGCAACTCTGTCGCCAAGCCTTCCGCCTCCAACAGACAGCCGCGAGCCGGCCCGACGACGACGAAGCCCCCGTCCAGCAACGCCGTCACTACGCCACCTGCCATCAATCGACCCAAGCAGTCCAAGAGCCGGAATGGTATGCTGATATTCCCTCGGAGTCGTCATGCCTTCCTCCGCTGGCTGGTCGACTGACCCTCTGCAGGGTGCATCACCTGTAAAACGAAGCGTCTCAAATGTGACGAGACGAAGCCCACCTGCCTGCAATGCCACAAACGAAACGTGACCTGCGGGGGCTACAAGAAAGACTTCAAATGGCGGCCCTTTGAAGAGGCCACCCTCAGCAAGTCAGCCCCCAAGGCGAAGAGAGGTAGGTTTCTGTTGGACGTGCACTCAATGTGAGAATTCTGACAGAAATTGAGCGACTTCGCCGCCGTTTCGCCCACCTCGAACAACCGCCACTAATGCGTCTGGAGCAGGCCAGTCGACAGCACTGCGAAGGGAGTACAGGAGGTCATCCACTTCTGAAACGACCCCAAGGGACTCTTCCGGGAAAGATGCCGTGATCTCGCCAACCAGTGACTCTGCCGCAGACAAGTCGTCGGTACTGGGCGAGTCGCTTTACACCAATGTTCCTACGCTGGCCAGTCAGGGTCAGTCGGTAGATTCCACCGAACCGCTGCCGTCGAATATGCACGCCCCTGAACCTCCGGGACCAACATCTTCAGTGGTGCCCGGTTTTGTGCTTTCTGACCCAGAGATGGCGATAGCGACCGGTCCGAACCCGTTTGACCTCGAGCAACCAGCGGCGCCTCTCGAGACTGTTGAACCTACTTTCTCCTCCATGCCTGAAGACAACACTGGTGATGTGGAAGAGGTCATCCGGCAACCGGATGCCGACCTGCAGCTGTGGCCCGTTCAGGAGTCTCCGTCTGGCGGTGCACCGGATGCCATGATGCCCATGTTGTTACGAGAGCCGGACCTTGGGAGCGAAGAAATGCTGATTCTCCGCTTTGACCGACAAACCTGTGGGATCCTGTCCGTGAAAGATGGCATCACGGAAAATCCGTGGCGCACGTGGATATGGCCCATGGCCAAACAGAATCCCGCCCTATACCACGCCGTCTTTGCCATGGCAGCCTTCCATTCGAGTAAGGAGAGCCCTTCCATGCGGTTCCTTGGTATGGAGCACATGCGCAAGAGCATCCTCTGCATGGTTCAAGGAATGGAAAAGATGAGAACAGATGCAGCCTTGGCCACCACCTTGTCTCTGGCATTTGCGGAAACGTGGGATCAGCACACGTCCACCGGCATCCAGCACCTCAAAGGCGCCAAGGCTCTCATGCGTCAGACAATGAGTGATAGGATACGGAGAGGACTGCCTGTCGAGGACCTCGCACGGCTGCGGTTCCTATACAATACTTGGCTTTACATGGATGTCATTGCCCGCTTGACCTCCCTGGACGAGGGCGACAAGGAAGAGCTGGGCGTCGTCCCTTTCTCAATGCCGATGGATACGATCCAGGAGGTCGATCCCCTCATGGGCTGTGCGACGACGCTGTTCCCTCTGATCGGCCGTGCTGCCAACATCATCCAGCGGGTTCGTAAGACGGAAAGCAATTCTTTCGCCATCATCTCGGAGGCCATCGAGCTCAAGACACTTATCGAGCGATGGGAGCCGCCGCAGTTCTTCGAGCCGCCCGAAGATCCGACTTCGGACGTCCAGCATAGCTTCCAAACCGCACAAGCTTACCGCTGGGCAACGCTACTCTATCTGCACCAGGCTGTGCCGGAGATTCCGTCCGAACCAGCTTCGGAACTGGCCAAGAGGGTTCTCATTCTTCTGGCCACCGTTCCCCTGAGCTCTCGGACCACGATCATCCACATCTACCCGCTCCTGGCGGCCAGCTGCGAGGCGGAAAAGGAAGAGGATCGCAGCTGGATCTTGCAACGATGGGAAGCTATGCAGGCGCGTCTGAAGATCGGGATCATCGACCGCTGCATTGATGTTGTCCGCGAAGTTTGGAGACGACGGGACGCCTTCGAAGAGGAGAAACAGCGCCGTCAGCGACGGAACCCAGGTCGACCGGGGTCATATGTTGCTCCGGTGGACACCATGAAGAGGAACTCGTCTCACGGACCGCTGATGGGGGACACCCAGGATCAGAATGCGTTCTACAGCCTCACGGAGCCGTGGAGGAGAGTTGGCGGCGACACTCAGAGCAGCATGATGACTCCGGTGTCAGCTGGGGATCCCCGACGTGCCTCGTCGTTCAATGTCGAGAACATTGAGTTTGAGAAGACGGTACGGGGGAGACTACATTGGGTTAGTGTTATGAAGGAGTGGAATTGGGAGGGTAGGTGCTTTCAGCGAGTAGAGGTGTGTTTATTGACTGAGCTAACGTTGATACTAGTTCTTCTTGGATGACGAGCCCTTTTCGACTGGTGCTCGCTCCCCTGGCGGTTGTTGTGCATTTCCGAGCCTGAACCTCTGATCTTCCATATACCTGAGCACCCCGTCTCCCGTTATGGTCGCCTCACCGGGACCTGGCTGGTCGTTGCTTCTAATTCCCTCTCTGGAAGAAGTCTCGGTGTCTGCTTCGCGGTTGAGATATGCGCGAAGTGACGCCAGATATGGCTTGAGATCGTTTGTGATCGACACGGTGGCCATGTTGAACAGTGAACACTATGGATTGGACTTTTGCGGCTGTCGCAGTCGGTAGGTCGGCAGGATATTTAGACATATATATATCTCTCTCGAGCGAAAGTCGTTCTTTTGCTCGTTTACGACGTATGCCTTTTCTTTTTCTTTTTCTTTATATCGTTCAATTAGCGAGGCGTTTCCTGGCGTTTGATGAATCCTACAGCGAAGAAAGAAAGAAAGAAAGAAAAAAGAGAAAATGGATTTGGATTGGGATGGGTTGGATTGGGGGGAAATTTTTTTTCTTTTTTTTCCCCTGTATGTATGTCGTTCGTTGTAATTAATGGGAACAAACGTTTGTGATGAGATGAGATGAGACCTTCTTCCGGGCTGCTTCTGGGCAGGTCGGTCGTTTTTGGTGCGTTCGTACCTACAATCGTATATTATACTTCGTAAGAAGGTCGCTGTCGTGAGTTGCGTATCGCGTGCAGCGGGATGGAATAAGTCGTAGTCAACTGGATGGCTGAATTTTCTTATTGGCCTTGCCTGCGAGAGAGGTGGAGCGCACCGGTGGTAGGATGAAATGAAATGAATCGAATGGCCTTTTTTTCTTCCCCGGTTTTTGTGCCGTGAGAGTAGAGCAGGACAGGACAAGACAAGGTCCTTTCTTTCTAAAGCTGAACGAAAAACGAAACGCCGCGCGAGTAGACAGACAGACAGACAAAAGAAGATATGTATGTATGTATTATTTTCGTATCTGCCGGGATAGAATAAAAAAACGACTTTTCTTCTTTTGTTCTTTTTTTTTTTGTCTGCCCTTTCTTTCTTTCTTCTTTTTCTTTTTGTTCGTTTTTGTGATCAACTAAAATCAAGAAAGAGTCGTCGTCGATGTCGTTGTCGTCGTTCCACCTTGGAAGTTCCGCGCTCTCTCTGCAGGCACAATGTCGGGAATGGTGATGGTGCGAATTGTCTGTATCGGCATTTGGCGGGGTAGATACGTAGGCAGGCCGCAGGCAGTGAAGAAGGTAGATTCGACACCCGGTCAAGGTAACTTGGATGAACTCGCGTCGTCCTTGGAAGCTATGAGAAGGTAGGTTAGGTAGGTAGCTAGTACGGACGTATACGTATAGAAAAGACAAGACGAGTTGAGAGGAGAGGAGACGAGAGGCGAATGAGCAGAAGAAAAAGTGTCAGAAAGAGAGAGAAGAGAGAGAAGAGAGAGAAGGCGGGGGAAGTTCCGAAGTTTTAAAAGTAGAAGAAAGAAAGGTATGACCAAAATCGAGAAGAGAGTAAGAAAAAGGTAAAATAAAAAAAAAGTTTTCTGACTTGTTGGCCGCACGGTCAACTGAAGAATGAGTTTGGAGGAGACTGTGAGTGGTCAGATCGAGGTACCTTCGGTACCTGACCAGTTAGTGGCGTGATGTAGGACAGAGGAATGCCTACATAAGAGGTACCTAAGATGGGTAAATGTAGTTACCTACCCAACTAGTTAACTATCTGGAGGAATACCCAAAACAGCATAGGTAGGCAGGAGCAGAACCACTCGTACAATACCTACATATGGGTCAGGAGATGGAAAGAGTCACACAGCAGTGCAATCAGTCAACAATCCTATGCTATATAGAAATGGTTAGGAAAGATCCACTACTAACTACTTAAAGAAGGATGCTGTGGTGCTAAAAATAATTCTACCTCCTAAGGTATGTATGTATTTACATGTACATACGTGGGCTGTCATATTTTTCCCGATTTCTGATTTTAGACCCGGACCTGGACCCGGAGATCATTCGATGTGGCTTACTTCTAACCCAGGTAAGAATTAGTTGAGTCTAGGTCCTACCTACCTTACTTAACAGGTACGGACCTACCCAACCCATTATTTTAGGAATTGCTGAGGTAAGACAGGTAGGTAGGTTTTATACCAGATGTAGTAATCTTTACTAGACTAGGTAGGTAGGTAGGTAGGTAGACAAGGGTATTGTGTTACTCCGTGCAGTAAATGTATTATTCATTTACATACTGTACTACGAAGTACTCTATGACCAGTTACGGTCAGTCCCATTCTTGTATTACTCCACTGAGGTGGTATCATCTTGCCATGAAATTTCAAAAGGAAGAACACCGTAAGTAAGCCATCCTTGCGAAAGATCTATTACCTAGCAATTTATTTATTTATTTTTTTTAGCTCGATCGGTTGAATTAAATCTCTCTCCCAGTAAGCTGATGCATCAGATTACTGACCGTACATATCTCTTCCAAAGCAGTAACCAGTATCCTATCTACCTTATCATCTGATCAGGAAACTCTTTCTTGACGTCAGTCGAAACTCAACTACGCTATTCCGTTTAGGGGCAAGTTTCGCGGCGGGGGTACCCCTGGACTCCGTAGCGCTATGCCCGATCGGGGAAATATATCCCTCGACCTGGAACTCAGATCTTGTACGGGCTGTACCTTAGGTGCCTAAGTAGGTACAGAATTCCTCAGGGAGAGAGACGGTAGCCGTATGCAGTGATGATTTTAAGCTGGGTAGATGATGTTGATTATGTAATGTCTGTACTGTGCAGAGACAGACAGACATGCATGTACGACTAGCTGTTCCAGGTATTATTTTATTACTTATTCTGGTCAGTGATTGGAGAAATCTACCGAAGGTGCAGTAAGTGTTTGTCTTCTAAATTATCACCTTATCTGCTGTTTTAACTCCATGACGGGAAGATATGCAGATCGCATCCTCTTACCAGATCCATCTTATCTCGTTATCATCTATCTATCTTTCTCCAAATTCAGTGAGGGGATATGAAGATCTATGCAGATGCAGACGATTGAGAAAATGACTGAACTGACCCCGCTCCCCTCCTCAACAGTCGAGAATGGCGAAATTTGGAGAAGAATATGATGTTTCTTATCTCGTGCTGTGGCCATCTCGCAATTTTATTCCTGGCTGGATATGCGAGAGAGGGGAGGGAGCTTTAGCAGTTTGTCTTACTACTGTTCAATATCTGTGTCTCGCATGGTAGATGGCTATTTAACCTGTCCGTCGAACTAGCTCTCCCTTTGCTTTGGTCGTGTCTTCTCAATTACTTCCATTTTTCTCCGCAGATCGCTCTGCCTGTTATCAGTAAGAGCTCCCCTCTTTTCCTTTCTATTTCTCCGCAGACAAGCGAGATTGCCGGTCAGTAGCTTTGTTTATCAGGTTATTATAAGACTATTGTGTCTTCTACATGTCAAGTGGTGTTGTAGTTCTATATCACTATAGGTTGGCTTGACTGTCTGCACTCCATACACCTCTTAACATTGTCTTTCCCTCTGCGAGTAGAACATTAACGATGGGCTTGATCCTCAGTCGCATCTCTGCCAGTCATAAAAGATCCACCTGTCGTGCCCCTACTCAAGAATCTAAAATGTCTTGTGTCGCATTCAACTACTACGCCAAGGCGCAGAGCACGTTCAAGCCGCCGCTGATCGCGAACGAGAATGCCTACCTAGGGGATGTCTATTCGAGGTAACCCCATCTCAACAAGACGCACATTATATAAAATTTCGCAGCATACTAATAATGATTCTGCAGCGACAAAAACGACCCCGACAAACCCATCACCGCGGGCTTCTTCCGCCTCGAAAAGGGCACGCCGCTCGTGTACGAGTACACGTACCACGAGATGAAGATCATCCTCGAGGGCGAGTTTGAGATTTCGGACGAGACGGGCCAGACGGTGCGGGCTGGGCCCGGGGATGTGTTTTATTTCCCCAAGGGGAGCAAGATTACGTTTTCGACGCCGTCGGTTGGGTTGGCTTTTTATGTGTGTCTTCCTCCAGAGCTCTTATATTATGGATTTTGCTGACTTAACTCTCTTTTTGTTAATAGACTGGACAGCGTAAGGAGGGCGGGGCATAAATCGAAGGGGTTTGGAAAGGCTTTATTTTGGACAATATATATAATCATACCTTATGTGATCTACTTTGTTAGTAAATCAATTGCGACAAGTACGGGTCCCAGTATCTTTTCTGTCTGATTCTGACAAATCATGTCGGACACGTTCCTGACTTACCTAAGCCGCATGTAACGGCAATAAGCTCAGCTAACCCGATCTGGCCTGCGGAATTGTGGCTGCGACGCTGCTTGTTTGTCTAAATCAATCCATGGATTCAGCGCGGGAGTTAGGATAGTCTCCATTAGTTTCCATTCCCCGTACATTCTCAAGCCAGCCCAGACATAGCTCAGCACTGGCATTCTTTACGTAGTGGACAGCACAAAGAAAGAAGCGAACAAAAAAAAAAAGAAGCGAAAACACTTGCCGGAACATCCGGAACAACGGATCTTACGACAACTCCTGACGCAGCACAATGGTGGAAGAGTTAAACACAGTGGAGAGCACGGCACAATGCTGCTCCACCCGATCAGCCCAGGATGCCCTACACAAATAACATCCGTGCAAGGGACGGGTCAGATCGACTCAGCCACAGATCTATCGCCCCATCGGCCGGACTAGACTGCGTCGCCGCCGGGGGATTCCCCAGGGCTGAGCTGAATGACGGGTCGCCGTTGCTTCATTAGGCGCTGAGATAGTTTCCGGGGCAACTGCCAGCCGAGGGGCCCTGCGAGCGCCTTGCAGGCCTCAAGACTGCCTCACTTTGTCGACTGACGTCTGCTGCTGCCCGTTGTTCTTTCTCTCGTCGTGCTCGCGAGACGTGCTTCTCTTCTCCTTCTCTTCTCTTCTTCCCTGACCAGCCCATCCTGCTCTCCTACTTCATGCCGCAGCGCGCCTCCCTGATCGCTGTTGCGGCCTAACCGTTGGGACAGCGCACGGCTTCCCACGCCACTTCGTCTCGAGCTAGTGATTCCCCGATTAGATCCAATCTCCAATCAAGGAGGCCGGCCTGGCGACGACGAGCACACATCACCCTCCCCCTCGACTGACTCGCATCTCGCACCATCCTCGCTCTGTCACACCATGGCTACTGCCAAACTGTCTGCAGACCTGGCTGGCAAGCCCAGTCCGGGCCTCCAGCTCCCTCATCCTCCCCCGCTTCTGCATACGCGCTCCGGGAACGAGAACTACGACCGCCCCTCCACGCCAACACAGCAGAGTCACCATGGCTTCACGAGTCCGGCTCAGACGCCCCAGGGCAGTCCCAGCAAGTCCAAGATGCCTCCCGGCGCTCTGAATCTGCCCGGTGTCTTCGAAAAGGCCATGAAGCTTGCTCCATCCTCCCCAACCAAGTCGGGCTTCAACACGCCGCAGTCGCCTACCAAGGGAGGCCTGTCCGTCATCGAAGACTTCAACGAAAGCGTCATCCACAAGGATGCCCACCAGACTCCCGGCAGCCCGACTCGCCGTTCCAACAAAGAGAATACGCCTCCCAATGTGCCCCGGCTGGGGAAGGATCTCGGATTGAATTCCAACCCCGCCGCCGCTTCGCGGATCGAGCCCTATCAACAACGTGAGACGGATAGCGCCAGGAAGACCCAGAGCCAGGCCCAGTTCCGTGGGTTGACTCCGGAGGAGCTGGAGAAGCTGCAACTGCCCAGAGTCAAACGGCTGGCCAATGTGACTCAACTCTGTAAGTCACTCATTTCCCTTCCCAGTTGGATTCGACGGTGGTCGCTGACCGTGGCTTGTGCTTAGATTTCCTCGATTACTACTTTGACCTTCTAAGCTACGTCCACAACCGCCAGAACCGTTACGCTCAATTCAAGGCCGCCTACCCTCCGCCGCCCGAGACTCCGGCGGAAGAGTATGAAGCCGCATTGCAGAAGTATCTTGGTCGCGAACGCGCCAGTCTGCGCAAGCGACGGACCCGGCTCCGTCAGGGAGATTTCCAGATCCTGACCCAGGTCGGCCAGGGTGGGTATGGACAGGTCTACCTGGCGCAAAAGAAGGATACCCGCGAGGTGTGCGCGCTGAAAGTCATGAGCAAGAAGCTGCTGTTCAAGATGGACGAGGTCCGACACATCCTGACGGAAAGAGATATCTTGACCGCGGCCAAAAGTGAATGGCTGGTAAAGCTGCTATACGCCTTTCAGGACGCGGAGCAGATCTATCTGGCCATGGAGTATGTGCCGGGAGGGGACTTCCGAACGTTGCTCAACAACACGGGAGTCTTGCACAACCGTCACGCCCGGTTCTACATCGCAGAGATGTTCTGCTGTGTCGACGCGCTCCATATGCTCGGCTACATCCATCGAGACCTGAAGCCGGAGAACTTCCTGATCGACAGCACGGGACACGTCAAGTTGACCGATTTCGGATTGGCCGCCGGAATGTTGGATCCTGGTAAGATCGAGTCGATGCGGATGAAGCTGGAGGAAGTGGGCAACACGCCCGTGCCGTTCGGTCGCCCCATCGAGCAACGAACCGCCGCTGAGAGACGTGAAGGGTATCGGTCGCTGAGAGAACGGGAGGTCAACTACGCCAAGTCCATCGTCGGGTCCCCCGATTACATGGCCCCGGAGGTGCTGAAGGGTCAGGAATACGACTTTACGGTCGATTACTGGAGCCTGGGCTGTATGCTCTTCGAAGCGCTGGCCGGTTATCCCCCGTTTGCGGGCGCGACGGTGGACGAGACTTGGCAGAATCTGAAACGCTGGCAGAAGGTGCTTCGAAAGCCGCAGTATGAAGATCCCAACTACTTCCTCTCGCGCCGCACCTGGGACCTTATCACGCGGCTGGTCGCGGCGAAGGAGCAGCGGTTCAAGAACATCCGCGAGATCCAGAGCCACGAGTACTTTGCCGAAGTGGACTTCAGCCGACTGCGGGAACAGAGGGCTCCGTTTGTCCCCGAGCTGGACTCGGAGACGGACGCGGGGTACTTTGACGACTTCACGAACGAGGCGGATATGGCGAAGTATAAGGAGGTCCACGAAAAGCAGCGTGCGCTGGAGGAAATGGCAGATAGGGAGGAAAAGATGAGCAAGGGACTCTTTGTTGGGTTTACCTTTCGGTACGTTCGTGTGCTCTCGTGGAGTTTGCGACTAGGGAGGTTTGCGACTCTCGGACTAACTATTCTAGGCACCGCAAACCGACGGTCGATTCGGATGGACGAAGCAGCCCGAGGAAATCGATTGTGTCTGACGGCACCTTCGGAACCATGTTTTGATCGGCCGTCTTGGCCCATTTCTTTTTCATATCGTATGGCTTCGGGATCGGCGAGCGGGCTCCGTGTTCTGCAGAAGCATTGTTCTGTTCTTGATGCTGTTCTTTGCTAGTAAATGCTTCATAATGCAATGCGAATGACGCGACATCGTTTTCTTTCTTTCTTTCCGCATCGGATTACTAATGTCTGAAATGGACGGGCCTGTTCTAGTCTTCTTTCCTTTGTGGTTCGTCTGGTGATCGTTCTCTTCTGCTCGAATTTTTACTGCGAGAAACAGCATGCTGAGACTCACTTGCATGTCGTCTTCGTTTCTTTTTTCTTGAATGTATGATTATGATAGAATTATGAATGAAATAGAAGATCCACTCAACGCTACATCATACATGTCAAGATGAATTAACCATTAATAGAGTGGAGCGTACATTAGATGCGTCGCATCGTGATGAAAAAACAAACAGATAGTCTATCATACAAACATAAGAAGCATAATATAAGAGCAGAGAGTATAGATGATTAATTGTTCAATCAATCTAGGTCGCATGACTGGCGGACCAGTCGCAGGATCTCGGACTCGTTGTCTCCGACGACAGCTTTTCCGTTGATCCAGTCGACGACCTGTTCATCAATCAGTCAGCTCTGATGCATGTAGATAAAGGTGAGATACTCACCAACGGCCGTATAAAACTACTATCGCCATGCTCCTTCAACCTCCGCAGCGCATCCTCCTGGTCCCTGGCGCCCTGGATGATGGCGCTCGGCTTGACGCCCTGCGCGGCGGTGTAGTCGAGGATGGTGCGCAGCTGGTCCGGCGTGGGCGGCTCCTCGGTCACGTCGAGCTGGAACTCGCCGCGCTGCTGGTGCTTGGCGTGGTGGGCGTGGTCCGAGGCCTGGTCCTCAGTGGCCGTCTCGGAGGCGGTTGCGCTGGCGGTGCGGAGGACGTTGAGCACGCGTGTGGAGGAGGGGAGGGAGGGCTTGTGGAAGAGTGTGATCACGTCGAGGGTTTTGTGCTGGTGCAGTAACTGTAGGTTAGCATGCCACTTTGCTTGAAATAGTAGGTATTTCCTAAGAATGTATGACAGTGATGAATTGATTGATTGATTGATTGATTGGTGAACTGTTTGTCTGAGACAAGACGTATGTACAGTACGATGTACTCAACTCAGTCACCGGATGGAGAAGATAGCAAAGCGACTTCAGCAACTACTCACCAGACGAAACATGGCTGATCAGAGAGGTCCCTGTCCTGTCCTAGTTTTCCCAATTCCGGAAAGAAATAAACAAAGACGAAATCCTCTTTTCCTGGTTTACGGGACAATTGGGTTGAGAGAGCAGCTGTAGACAAGTCTGTATGGATCGAGTCGACGCAGAGCTCTCTGTCTGTCCCGCGGGACTTGGCGCTTACGTCATGTGCCTGATTGACGCTGGGTGGTGGCTGACTCAGTCGGATGCCTCAGGCTCAGATACAATATTTCCTTCGTACAGTACAGTAGTAGATTGAGTTGCCTCAAGGTTTGACACGTGCAGCTGGTCATGTTATTGATTCTTGATTAGATCTGTTCGTCCCTGTCTTTGCTTTTCTTTCCCCTGTTTCTCTGACCTTTCCAGAGTCAATTATATATATACTATCTATCTATGGGGAGACCTTCAACCTGAAATTCCCCGGATCAGTGCCAGCGGCCCGCCGCTTTTGCTGCTCCTCTGCCCCCTATCTATAGTTGCGCCAGAATCATTTCTTTTGAGGTTGAAGAAGATTGTGAGAATGCTACTTACTGAGATTCATGAAACTGCCCACCCAGCAAGAAGAACAATGTCTACGCAGTGAACACAGAGACTGTGTGACTTAGATTCGATGACTGCAGAAGGAATGACTTACAACTCCGATTACTGCTTAAGCAAAGTTCCTTGCAGGCTGCAACCCTAAACCTCTAACATACGAATAATATCTGGGAGACCTCGCGAATATCCTCTGTCTCAGGCACTACGCGAAAAAGACACTACGATTTAGGATAATCGGCAATGACGAAGGTGAGCAATACAGGTATGGACGGGGTACCTGGCTCTCCTTCCACACGTGGTCAGTCGAGGGAAGGTACTTTCCCTTTCGGTGTTTACAGCATTCACCTATCTGCTGCCTCTTCCTCCCGGCCCTGCTTAATCGCTTCTTCGCTTCCCGCCTTCGTCTTCTGTTTTCTCTTCTTCTCCCTCTTCTATTCTATCTTGTCTACACTGGCCTCAGTCAGACAACTCCATAATGGCCGGAAAACGGAAAGGAACCGAAAAGCAGAAGCAGCCTAAACGACAAACTGTCAAACAAACTGGGTCACAAAGGAAAATCCTAGGTTATCCAGTGAACCCATAGTATGATCGAAAGCTGCCAGGTTGACACAATCGGAGGTGGAAAACCCACCTGCCAACGTACCTTCCCTTCCACTTCGTTACTCGACTTAACTCTTTGCTTGCACTGTAGAAGGTTGATGTCGTTGCTCATGACATTCTACCCGAAGCCGGATGATAACATCGAGCAAAATGGCTAAGAAGCGACTGACGGATGCCGTGTCTTCAGCAAGTCCAGGTCGACGGAGATGGACAAATCTTCAGGAACCACTCCGGCCAGGATCTTGTGAAACAGAAATCCACACTTGTCGACCGTGTTGCCGCGCTGGAATCACGGCTTTACGCAGTGGAGGGTGCAACTGCACAACTCACCAAACTAAGTGATCAATATCTTGCCGTTCGGGAGAGGACATTCAATGTCTGGGTACGAGATATTTTTGAGGAGTCGCACAAGCTCTAGACTCAGGCGAATACAGAGAGCAAACCAAGTTATCCATAGCGGCGATGCAGTCGCTGATGCGGAGATGTTTGTCAAGAAGAACAAGAGCGGCACCGACCAATTTAAACTCCTATATGGGCTAACGCCAGAGAGAATCCAAGAAATAGGTAGCCCTAATCCCATTAAGGATACCTTTCTTATTGCTAACAGATTCCAGACTCTAGTCGCATCACTAGTGTCATCTCCATTCCTTAATCATGTTGCCACATTCCGCCTTGAAGGGCAAGACCTCAACGATAAACGTTCCTTAATCTTCAACAGACTTGTCGATTTGATCAATGGCATGGAAACCATTGAATACAATGAAGCAGTAGCTACTACCTGTCAGGAGTTCTGGGACACCAATTGATTCGATAGCTGTTAGTTCTGTGTAGAGAGTGGATTGCTTAGTATGTGTCAACCTGGCAGCTATCATTCATACTAGGGGTTCACTAGATAACCTAGGTTTTTCTTTTGTGCCCCAGTTTGTTTGACAGCTGTTAATTCTGTGTAGAGTGGGTTGCTTAGTATGAATACATGGCTCCTATAGTCCAATCAGTCCTAGCTTCCCTTCGTATAGGGCAGGGTGAGGAGGGTTAAGTAAAGGCGGCGTGCCTCCAGCACTAGAACGGGAAGGGGAATCTTGCGAATCAACTTCCCAAGACAGTTAACTACATGCACAGCAATTCAATTCCGATAAGATATCGGATCTCAGGGCTGTAACCCTTATTCCTGCTCGTTTTCGTTCAATTTCGTCTGGTCATGACGTCGATCTCGGGTGTGGTGCCGACTCAGCGGCGCAGTTAACGGAATTAAACTTATCTGATCATTCCACACGGAAAGCGACATTCCGACCTCCTGATTGTACAGTACATCCGCGCGTTTATGCATTAGTAACGGTAATAAATATAACTGCATAGTATCTACTGTCTAGTAGTAGTGACTATTAATTAAGTGTTGACTTTATTTAACGTCACCTCCGACAGGGATACTCCCGTTGACAGTGATAGTATCCCAGTCGACTATTATGGACATCGTGCTCGACGTCGTCGACACTTTCGCCTTCGATCGGCTCTATGCCACCGTCCTCCCAGCGAACAAGCCCGCCAACGACGAGCTGCTTGCGACGTACAACCAGAATGTCGGCCGCTATGTGGCGCTGCAGCCGTCCAGATGGGCTCTCCTGAGCAGCTGGCCGCGAGACGACATTCACAGACAGGCTCTCAGCTTGTTCCTCATCACATGGTGTGTTGAGCCAGCGTATACATCTCATGCACGTAATGGAAGTACAATTATTAACTGACGTGCAAGGTTCTTCGGGCTAATCCTCTACTTCCTCGGCTCGACCATCTCATACCACTTCGTCTTCGACAAGACAGCAATGAAGCACCCGAAATTCCTCCGCAACCAGCTCGCAATGGAGATCAAGCAGGCGATGTCAGCGATGCCGGTGATGGCAGCCCTGACGACGCCCTTCTTCGTCGCCGAGGTGCGCGGCTACACCAAGCTGTACGACTCGGTCGACCAGGCCCCTCACCCGCTGTACACCTATCTGCAGTTTCCCCTTTTCATCGCCTTCACCGACTGCTGCATCTACTGGATCCATCGCGCCCTCCACCACCCGCTCCTCTACAAGCGTCTGCACAAGCCCCATCACAAGTGGATCGTCCCGACCCCTTACGCTAGCTATGCCTTCCACCCCGTTGATGGATGGAGTCAGAGCGTACCGTATCATATCTTCCCGTTTCTGTTCCCGCTGCAGAAGGCGGCGTATATTGGCTTGTTTGTGTTTGTCACCATTTGGACGGTGCTGATTCGTACGTCTCCTTCCTCCTTCAAGTAGATACCTATCTCGAAACTAATTTTTTGACAGACGACGGCGAATACGCCACCAACTCCCCCCTCATCAACGGCTCCGCCTGCCACACCATGCACCACCTGTACTTCAACTACAACTACGGGCAATTCCTCACCTTCTGGGACCGCGTGGGCGGCAGCTACCGCAAGCCCTACCCGGAGCTGTTCGACCGCAAGCTGAAGATGGGTCAGCAGGAGTGGGAGCGGCAGGCCCGTGAGGCGGAGAAGTTGGTGCGAGAGGTTGAGGGGGTGGATGAGAGGACTTATGGGCAGAAAAAGGATGAGTAGGGTAGGTAGGTGGTGATCACTATCGTTCTTTTTTTCTTTTCTGTTTTTACTGTACTTTGATTTGAAGTCTCAAAAAGAAAGGGAAAGGGGGGGAAAAAATAAAGGACAAACGGAATGGAAACTGGATGATATCCAAATTAGATAGGGTTACCTAGATAGATAGATAGACAGGAAGCAGGATGGTCAGCACTGAAAGTGTTCTGTACATAGATACTGTATAATTGATTGATTGATTGATTGCTAAGTCACATTGTGCACTCACCTACAGCATACAGATTGATATTCATAGGGCTTGCGAGCTAGTACTGCCTTCTACGAGTGTAGCATTGTTCCAAGTTCTTGACGCTTGTTGGATGCCGTCTGATGAGGGTATATATACTCATTATTCAATTCGTTAGGCATATTATATTAATCGTGGTATCTATATATGTATGCATGTACAATAGAATGGAGCAGAATACTTCTATTCGAGAGTGATCGTCTTCGTTGAACCTCAAATTCCCAGCCTTCATACCCAATTCCATGCCATACTCTGTATACCCATAACGCCATCCCGCTACATATGAACCCCAAAACGTCGTCGATCTCGTCTACTCGTCTAGCTCGTCCCGTCTACCACCCGAAATTCTCCACATGCAGATAGATCCCCTGCGCCCCCGTGCCCTTATGCACCGCCCGTTCGTCGCTCAGCGACACGACGCTCCGACGCACATCATCCGCCAGACCCCGCGGCCCGCACACAACCACGGCGCTTTCGCCCTCGGCCCGTTCGAGGACGTTCCGTATAATCGTGCGAGGGTGCGGACGACCGGCCACCATCTTGATCTCTTGCGTGGCCAGGTCTGTCCCGGTTGGAGATGGAGACGCAGGTTTTTTTTCTGGCGCAGGATTCGACGGAGGTGGTGCATGGCCCGAACAGGTGCATTTCGGAAGAGAGGAGGCATTCTCATCTTCGATGGTAATGGTGCAGCAGCATCCGCCATCGGCGCGGCAGCCGCCAACGGCGTCTCCAGGACGTTGCACATCCGTGGATGAGGAGCCCCTGGAAAGGGACTTTATTGAGATGTCGTCTTTCTCACTCTCCTTTGTCTCGACAGATTTGGTCTCGGGAAGGGATTGATTCGGTTGGCGTCTTGGGTCCGGCCCGGACGGTTGAGCTGGGAGCTTCTCCGACAGCGACTCGTCGCACGTGATGTAAATACTGATCTCGATCTCCTTGTCGAATTGAGGCGACAATTGCTGGCACATTCTTATGTCTTCGAGCACCGACTGAAACTGCGACTCGAGCCAGCTGAGCTGGGCGCGCGTCTTGATCACCCAGACAAAGCGGATCCGTTTGGTGGCCGCAAGTCGTACACGCCGCAGAAGAGGCACCCTGGACAGCACCCAAGACGCATTCTGGCACTCCTCCTTCCACCCCTGTACGATGTCTCGCAGCAGAGGGACTGTGAACGTGCATCCCATCCCGCCAGCCAGGAACACCACACTATCAAACTGGCGCAAAGGACGTATTGCTCCATATGGCCCTTCCACGAACACTGTCCGCATGCTGTCCGTATTCACTCCCGTCTCACCCAATAATAGCCCATGATGCTTTGAGGCGAACCGGAAGAACCGTCGGGTGCCTCCTTTTTCTGCCCGGACAAGAAATTCGAGCTTGCCGTCGGACGGAATAGAAGCGATTGTAAAGGGATGACTCTGAAGAGGCACGATCGAGTGACATGCCAGAAACACGTGTTGACCGGGTTTCCACTTGATGACAGGGTCTGGGATGGTGATGCGAGTGACATTCCCCGGCAGAGGGGTGAAGGACGCCTTATTGGCGAAGAAACTTCTCTTCTTCTTCCTCCGTGTAAAGGGGTGAAGAAGCGACACATTGGCGAAGAGAAGGACCAGAAATCGCACGAGTCGATCAAAGGCAAACAGACCGATGGGAATCCAGACCCAAACTTTGACCTCGTCCGTGGCATGCAGCCAGACCGCAGCAATGAACCCGGCAAATGTCACCACATGCTGCACCACGAAGATCTCATAGTTCCAGCGCCGTATCGGGGCAAAGGTCGTGATGACGATAAAGGTGAGGATGCACCATGCGCTGAATCCGCGCATGGTGAGCTGATCGGTTGTCAGCATGGTCACGATGTAGTCGTATTGGCCGTAATCGCGGAACCAGAAGCCCATGTGGATGGTGGCCGACAGCCACAGCGTTCGGGCGACCCATCGATGGAAGAAGTTGAGGCGCTCATAGCTCAGACCCGTTAGGAATCCAATAATGTTCTGTTTGCCGGCAAGCAGGAAGATCAGAGGCAACTGGCAGATGGTAACAAACCCTGCCCGGTAGCCGATATTCTCCCAGCTCAACGGATCGAGAGTGTTGAATTTGAAGAAGCACATGACGACCACCACTACCAGGTTTGCTAGGACGACAAGGACAGGGCCCAGCGGAGCCAGATGAAGCGTATAGCGTCCGATTGTGATGGGCTGGAGCGTTGCGTATGACACCTCCCGAGCCATGGCGGTGATGGTCGCATAGGTACCCCAGAGGAGGGACTTTGGTTTCGATGGCGTGGCAGAGGCATCGCAGAGTCTGGAGACACTGTTAGATCGAGAGAGGAAGCGACAGATCGAAGGGCGAGTTCTCACTCACCGTTGTCGCGCCAGAAAACGATTCAACAGATTGACCACTGTCGCAGCACCGATAGCGGCACCGACAACGGCCCAGTACATCTGCTGGAAGGTGAAGAGGCTGGGCACGCCATTGCCCATGGACATATCGCCCATGTCCATGCCGCTCATGTCCATGGCCATTGTGTCGGTGATAGCGAGGGTCAGTCGCCCGAATTCGGTATACAGAATGGCTGACCGAAGTTCGTCCCAATCAGGAAAGCATGCGATCACAGCATCGCAGGACACGGCCGGCACAATCAATTAACGAAGCAAGAGCGAGTCCTGGGACTGACGTGAGTCCAGCATGACCGCACAAGGCAGAGATGCTGTAGTTCTACAAGATTAGATTATATGGAAGGGCGATAACCCCCTCACCAGACTCCGGCGCATCATGTCACACCCACGTCTGGCAGAACCGGCCCACCAGCACCATCATATCTGTATTGCAAGCAGCGCTGAGCCCCTCTTCACTGCGGAATTGCTCATGTTTTGCAGCACGAGCTGAAGCGGCGGGCCACCACCGGGCGGGCCTGCTGATTGGGCCGAACGGCTGGAAATCTGCTCAAGCGCCGCTGGCGGACCCTCCGACGGGCCTCGCCATGACAAAAAATCTGCTCAGTCGACGCTTCCACAGCCAGCGATCGGATGCCGTTCCCAGGCATGACAGCAGGCGGCATCAGACGGTTGTGGCGACTTCTGGAAACCCCGTTGCAGCTTGAGGTTGGGGGCTGCGATGTCAAGTCAGTTGACACCTATCTATTATCGCTATTGCCCCTCGCGTTACCGGACTGGTCTTACAATAAATAACAGTGGTTTCCGGCTGTCCAAGACCTTCGACTCGAATTATCTCATCTGACACGTTGCTGGAGGGAACTCTGGGACAGTCTTCTGCGACAACAACCGCTATTCCCAAGACCAGTACTCAGTAACGACGTATCGTTCTTCAACAAGAGACATTGGAAATATAGCCATTGCGATCGATTTCCAGCGCGATTCAAGTCATCGTTGATGAATTTGTGACTGCACAACAACACCACTCCTTCACGCAACCACGCGGCCAAGATCAGCCATGGATATGGATATGAGCAGTTCTTCCGGCATGTCAGACATGCCCAGCTCGACCATGATGACCATGGTCTTCACCAACAGCCAGAACACTCCGCTCTACTCAAGTTCCTGGACGCCGTCCTCCTCCGGCCAGTACGCCGGTACTTGTATCTTTCTCATCATCCTCGCCTTCATCGGTCGTGCGCTCGTCGCCTTCAAGGCTGTGATGGAGCGGAGATGGCTTGCAACCGCTCTCAACCGACGTTACGTGGCTGTTGCTGGGAGGAGTACCGAGGCCGCTGCTATCGACGCTGACCCGGACTCTCAGAAAGCGAGACTGCTCACTGCAAATGGTGTCGAAGAGTCTGTCAAGGTTGTGCGCCGCACATCCGACGGGCCACAGCCATGGCGATTCAGCGTGGACCTTCCTCGAGCACTTCTATACCTCTGCATAGCGGGCGTCAGCTATCTACTGTGAGTTCTCTAGGTGTCTTGTCCTGTGTCTCCAGGACGGTGTGTGTGTTGACCCAGTCGCAATGGCAGGATGCTGGCCGTTATGACCATGAACGTGGGCTACTTCTGCTCTGTCCTAGCCGGCACTTTTTTGGGCGAGCTGGCTGTGGGCCGATATATCGAATGGAACGAACACTAGAGCAACCTGACGGTATTGCTCCTTTTTTTTTTCCTTTGCCTTCTATTGTAATTATTTCATCTGAGCGCCATTCATGAGCGTTTTTGGGTTGCTGTACTTGGACTTTGCATTGAGATGAGAGCAGTGGCTGGCCTCTGCCCCTGTCTGATGACGGCTACGAAAGATTAGATGGCATGACTCGCGTACATTGTCTGACCAATGCGGCTGCGATATCACTAGAATAATAAAGACCAATAGACTTGATCAAGAACTCGTGCGCTCTATTTATAGCCCTTTCACCATGAGATCTACTCCGTCCTAGGCCAGCTAAGGCGTGCAGCAACTTCAAGCACGCTGAATGCAGCAATTACTAATATTAGCCCGTCAGACGACCAGGAATTCGGTCAATTGAAAACGACGGACAGTGCTGATCAGATACGTAGGGAGAGGCAGTTCCATTTACAGTTACCTGCCCAGCAAGGCTAGTTCCTCCGGCCCCGCAGTGGAGAATGAGCAGGAATGAGCAGATTATCGCCTTGGCAGCGATCGCGCATGCCATTGGCTCGTCTCATTTCCGCATTGGACAGAGCTGATCACTTAACTGGGAAGAATTGACGTGCGAATAGCAATCATTGTGATGGAGTATTCCATGGTATACCGTTATTATTACGAGCAGCTAAACTACGGAGCAGAGTAACGTGTGAGCTGCAAGCAAAGGCTAAGCAATGGGGCGCCGGGATCTAATCTCGAGAAAGGCTTATTTTTCCACGCGGAACCGTACGGAGGAGTAGCCACACTCAACGACCGGAGCTAGCGTTGGCTGTTTGGTCTCGATTTGTTCTTTTTTTCAGTTTTAGTTTTATTGTTTAACTTCGTCTTTGCAGTTTGTACCGGTTTCTAATCCGCAGTTGCCGGCCTGTGTTTTTCCCCGACTCCCACATGGCAGCCCGAAACCGCTGTCATGCGGGGAGCAGCAAGCACGGAGACCTAATTAATTCCTAACGTGAAGATAGTTCGATCCCGTGGTACCATGTGAGGAAGCTGGATGGCCCATGACAGAATCCTCCCCACTTGAGTAGGCCCTTGATCTTGTTTAAATAATGCAGGACTTCCCCTCTCTTGTCTTTGCGAGCCAGAACTCAGCTCCTGCTTGGAGAGCAAATTGTCTACTATATACCCCTACCCAGTGGCGCAGCGTTCCTTCCTTGACCGACTCTTACTCGTATAACGAGTCAGGTTTACTACAGACCTGCTCTAATCACCGGCAAATCGACAAATTGCTTCAGTCTGAAGATCTGATCGGCGTCCTATACTGTATACTGTTCTCTTCCTAAGTCTTCATCTATCAATCGCACAACATGCGGTCCTCGTGGCTGAGTCTCGCCCCGTTCCTGTCCCTTGCGGCAGCCCACTTTACCCTCAACTACCCCTCCAGTCGGAACTTCGATGAGAACACCATGCCCACCTTCCCTTGCGGCGGTGAACCGCAGTCGTCCAAACGCGTCGTTCTCTCTCTGACAGAGGGCTCCCTGCCGGTGGACATTACCCTACACCACACGCAGACCGCTGTGACGATCCTGCTCGGTCTGGGCAACGACGTTGGCGACAACTTCAACATTACCCTCGTGCCCACGTTCGGCGTCACCGGTCTGGGCAGCTTCTGCCTGCCCCATGTGCCTCTGGACGAGAAGACGCTGGGCACGGTGCTGACGGACGGCGCCAACGCGACCCTGCAGGTCCAGACGAATGGTGACCCCAATGGCGGATTGTACGCTGTAAGTTTACTCCAGACTCTCAATCGGCGTCTAGCGTTCCCTGCTAACGAGGCTTCTCAGTGCGCGGACCTCACTTTCTCGTCCACGGTGAAGTCGGACAATCCGACATCGTGCACGAACAACAGCGGCGTCCACGCGACTGTCTTCACCGGTGCGGCGGCTGCCCGTCCCGCGAACTTGTCGACTCCAGACGGCCAGGCGCAAAGCGGCTCTTCCAGCTCTTCCAGCTCTTCCAGCGGATCGACCGGCGGATCGTCGACCGGAACATCTACTGGATCCTCGACTGGATCCTCGACTGGGTCGTCGACTGGATCGTCCACTGCCTCGGGTGCTTCTTCTACCGCGAAGACTGGTGCAGCTGCACGCCTGCAGACCGCTGCCTGGGGTGTCCTGGGCGCGGCGTTCGCTGCTGGTCTTGCTGTTCTCTAGATCTGAGCATTCACATCGATCTGCTGAGATGAATGATTTGTTATGAGTAATGAAGGGGTGTAATGTGTGTAATGTCCGTGTTGGTATTTTTATCCTGTGGTGGACAGCTGTATCATATCAAAAAGGAAAAAGATCTAGGGAAAATTTCTCTTGAATTTGCTCTTATCTCAGGCACTGCGTAGTCATTGTACTGTACTTCTGAATATAGTAGTAAATCCTTCATTACATGTACCTGAAACTATAGCTGTCTCAAGAGCGGAGACAGCTGGGTAAAACTAGCGAGTTGAATCGCATTGCTTTCTTTAGTTATTTTGATAGAAAAGAAACGAAAAAGAAATATAAAAGAAAATAAAGAGAAACAGACAGACCCTGTCCTTCGCAGTCTATATCCTCTGCGGAATTGTTGCAATGGCTTTACCAAATTCCCGCTATGTAGTAGCCACACCGCCTTCGTACTGCCGCGGCAGTATTAACAGTGTTATCATTCCGGAACAAAAACGCGGGGATCATTGCAAGCCCGCATCAGTTGTTGCGGTCCGATTCCGTCGTGACTTTTTGTTTCCCCTTTTCAATTTACAGGCTTGCTTGGACAGTCTGTTTCGTTCTATCGGGCGGGTCCATCGCTCCTTGCCGCAGGACATAACGTCCAGATAATACAACAATCCAAAATGTCGACGCGAGCGCCTTATGTCGTGCCCGCGCTGAAAAAGCACACCGCCACGGTGATTATGGCACATGGACTGGGCGACAGGTTTGTGTTCCTTCTGAAGTTTCAATACTGCCGTTGCTGTTGACAGGAACTGACTCCGAAGTGCAGTGGAGCAGGTTGGTACGTTTCTTTCTCCTCCGCCAAGACAAGACCCTCTCTCAGACATTCGATCAGACTCGGTCAAGAAACAGAAGATTGACGGATGGTTGTGATGTAGGATGGGACTGGCGCAGAATTGGCGTCGGCGCGGCAAGTTCGACGAGGTCTCGTTCATCTTCCCCAATGCGCCGATGATTCCGATCACAGTGGTATGTTCTGACGGGATGTGTTCGTCTAAACTTTTATTTTCTTTGTGCTGACTGAGGAAGATAGAACTTTGGCATGACGATGCCTGGTTGGTATGATATCACTCATCTTGGTCGGGATGTAAGTGCAGATCTGAACGTTGGCTGGAATAATATGGGCTGAAACTATCGCAGCTGGACTTCGAAGAGGCAGTGCGACACCAGGATGAGCCCGGAATCCTCCGTTCTCGCGACTACTTCAACACTCTGATCAAGGAAGAGATCGACAAGGGCGTCAAGCCCTCGCGGATCGTCCTGGGCGGCTTCTCCCAAGGCGGTGCCATGTCGCTCTTCACGGGCATTACCAACACCCAGAAGCTGGGCGGTATCTTCGGTCTCTCCTGTTACTTGCCGCTGAGCGACCGTCTGAAGAACCATACGCCCAGCGGGGAGCTGCCGAACAAGCAGACGCCCTTCTTCCTTGCCCACGGCACGGACGATGAGATTGTTCAGTACGATCTTGGGAAGAAGACGGAAGAGTACCTGAAGAAGGAGCTTGGTCTGAATGTTGAATTCCACACGTATCCGTATGTGCACAACTCGCCCCTTCATCAACGTTGCTCGATTTTTTTTTAACTGATGGCTTTCATCTCCTGCAGTGGTCTTGGCCATTCCGCCGATCCGCTGGAAATCCAGGATCTGGAGAACTTCCTCGAGAAGACCATTCCCCCGGAGGGAGATGGCCAGGCGTCGGCTGGTTTATGACTGAATGACACCAATGCAACGACAACGCCGGCGTGGCAGTTGCCATCTACCGTATTCCTAGGGTTGTTTGTGTTGTTGATAGGACTTCTTTTGCAGCGATTCCGTCAGGGGGATGCTATTGATTCTCGAAAGTCATGAATTATAGAAGCGGGGATTTCCCTGCGTTGCATTTTTTTTTGTTGAATGATTTTTTTTTCCTATATCTTCTCTGTCAAGGGAAGCGTTGCATATACTGGAGACGTATAAACATCTTTCTTTAATAGAAAGAGAGCCATTATTATAATCATATATATGTGGTGTGCACGAAGCAGTGTTCAAGAGACATGAAGATGGAATAATATAACATAATTAATCTGGTTTCTAGTTTTCTATTGGTCAATTTCATAGCAGTAGTACCTACTTACATGTAGTACAACCGAGGGAACGTTGACAAAATCATAACTTGGCCAAGGCATCATCGGTTTCACTCCAAACAAAAAGACGACCAGAGAGCTCACCTACCGAGTCACCAGACTGGAAAGAGGGCAGCAATTGATATCTCTTTTCACTTTCAGTTATCTTCTTTCATTTTCAATAATAATTAATGACGAAAAGTGGAGTCGGCACCGTTGCATCCCTCGCTTCGTTTCGTCGGAAAGATTTCCTATCCTGATCGATCATCCGGACGGATCAAAGATGATGAAACTTCCGCCTCTACGGAGTATCTTTCCCCGTGATGGGGGTCTGGTATGGGTATGAATTACCTAGCCTACAGAGGTAGTTAGTTACCTAAACTGCTGCCCAGAAAGAAATTTGTGCCATTGGATAGCAATTGCTCTCATATTCCTGTCTGGTCTGGATTTTGCTGTGATCTTTGGAGTACTACTGTACCACTCGAATCTCCATGACCGCAACGACCACCACCGAGTCAGAACAACAGCAATCCCCAGCTGCAGCAGCAAAACATGCCAAACCGTCGTCTCTGTGGCAGGATCTCGGCGCCCTGGGGAGTTTGCTCGCCTACGGACTGCGCAATCCCTGGGAAATGTACACGGGCGCGGGTCCGACGCTGAACGAGCTCACCTGTGGCCTGGCGGGCTCGTCGTTCAAGCCGAAGAGAGACATTGGCGATCTGGCGGGCAAGGTTATCTTCGTGACTGGAGGTGCGTGCGATATGTCGTGCCTGCTCTGTTCGAGACGACCAAGCTAACTGGTTTATTTTATGAGACAGGCAACACAGGTATAGGCAAGGAAACCATCCTCCAGCTAGCCCATCACCGACCACACCGCATCTACCTCGCCGCGCGCACCGAGTCCAAAGCCCGCGATGCAATCGCGTCCATCAAGGCCGCCGTCTCCTCGCCCGTCGACATCCGCTACATCCCGCTGGACCTGGCGTCGTTCGCCTCGATCAAGAATGCGGCGAGCCAGTTTACGTCGGAGTGCGAGCGTCTGGACATCCTGATCCTGAACGCGGGCATAATGGGGCATCCGCCTCAGACGACCGAGGCAGGCCACGAGATCCAGTTCGGGACGAACCACGTCGGACACTTTCTGCTGACGAAGCTGCTTCTGCCGACGCTGTTGAGGACTGCGTCCACGAATGCCGACGCGGATGTCCGGGTCATCACAGTAGCGTCCATCGCCAGCGGAGTCGCCTCGTCGTTCTCCTTCGACGAGCTGACTTCGACTCCCGGCCTCCTTGCAGCAAGCACCTGGCAACGCTACGGCGCCTCCAAGGCAGCCAACATCCTGTTCGCATCGGAGCTGGCTCGACGACACCCCGAGCTCCTATCCGTATCCGTCCACCCAGGCGTCGTGAAAAGCGACCTGTACGAGACGACCAAGGCTCGCAACGCGTTTGCGCGCTACGTCCTGGATCTGACGGCGCCGCTGGCGATGCGCACCGTCTCCTCGGGCGCGCTGAACCAGCTCTGGGCCGCCGCCGGGGCAAGTCGCGAGCAGCTGGCCAGCGCCAACGGCGCCTTCTACACGCCTGTCGGCAATGTGCATCCGCGGAACAGGTTCGTGGCTGATGCGGAAATGGCGCGGAGATTGTGGGAGTGGACTGAGGGGGAGGTTTCGAGGGCGTTGGCATAGCATAATAGAACGGATGGCTGCTGTACAGACCTTGGATATACGTCGAAGATTTGTTCCATCTCGGAGATACCAATCAGTTAACAACCCTGGATAGTTGGTCATGTGTCCTTTTTTTTCTTGTATATAACGACTAGCTAGCCATCCACTGTACGGAGTATTTGTAAATATATCCGAATTGCACACGCACACACATATATTCCATCTGTTTGTTACACCTATTATCTATTATTCTCGATTCCCATTCATCATTAGTAGTTCGCTCGTCGTGTCTCTTATCTATTTAATTGATCCCTCCCTCCAAGGCAATACATGCTCGTATCAACAATAAGATGTATGGGGGGAAAAAAAGATAATCCCATTCATTCATTCATTTCTGTTTGTACCCCTAAACCCTATATAGTACGTACGTACGTGAGATAATTAGAATGAATAATATTTTTGCTTTTCTTGCTTTGCTTTCTTGCTTGCTGGATGGCAATGGCAATGGCAACGGCAATGGCAACGGCAATGGTATCCGTTCATTGATTGGCGTGGACTCCCGCGCTTTTTGCTTTTTTCATTTCATCATTTCTTCAATTCCAGAGTTTAGTTTATAACATGTTTGTTTTTGTTTACTCCACCTTGCTCTCAAAGTTCTCGCCCTCGACCAGGTCCGGGATGTCATCCTCGTCTTCGTCCTCGCCCTCCTTCTTACCCTCGCCGCCTTCCTTCTTCTGCATGTTCTGGTAGCTCTCGGCCAGCTTGCGCAGCGACGCCAGGCTGTCCGGACCCAGCTGGTTCAGGATGCCCGGGACGAGCTCGGTCAGCTCCTTCTCCTCGCCGTTGCCGTAGATGGCGAAGGTGTTGGAGGGGACGGAGGCGTGGACTGTGTACACATCAGCCGCTGTTACCTGACATACTTGGGATATATATAAGGTATATGAAGGAGAGTATTACCCTTCGGAGCAGAAAAGTGAATAACGTTGCCGTCCTCCTTGAACATGTTCACCTCCTCGATCGCCTGGATCGGCTGCACGTTCATCTTCTTGAGCGTCGTCTGGAGCTTCTTGTCGTCGGTGGTGGACGTCTTGTGGACCCTCTTGGTCTTACGGCGGGGAGTACCCTTGCCTCTGTCAGGCTGTCAGCCAATATTCTCCCATCCATATTCAAATTCGAGTGTCTGCAATCGCGATATGCGGAATTGAAGGGAATCAATCGATAACGACGAGTGAGATGGTCTGATGAAAGGACTGGGAAGGTGGATTTCAAAGATATACGCACCCTAGGAACAGAAGAAAAAACCAATGTCAGTCAGCCCAAATTGCCAGAAACAAACCAAACTCGTCCAAATAGCAGATCAGACAGACACGAAGGAAAAGACACGCAAAAAAGCGACCGCGAATGCCTTCAAACACCAGGAGTCGCAGGACACACACATCCTGAACAACCCGCTAAATAAATACCACCGCTGGGATTCCCTCCCCCCTCCACAGCTGTAACAACAACACAGAGAAAAAAAAAGATTCACATACCGATCCGCACGCTCTGCTGCAGCTTAGCCAGCTTCGCCTGATCCATGGTGACTAGTTGAGGACGATGGTGGTGGTCGGTACGAAATTTCGAGTTCGGCGCGGGCTCAGTCGAACAATGCGAGAGGGAGGAGAGAGAGCAAGCAAGCAGGTTCGGTCGGTGGGTCGGTCGCCGGACGGAGGTGGGAAATTTCGCTAATTTCAACCGCGCCCGGGTTGTTGGTCGTCGTGGTTGTCGTCGACAACACAAGACAAGAGCAGAGAGAGAGAGAGAGGGCGAAAGAAAGAGGGAGATAGCAAGAAGGGAGGAGGCAGACTCTCTTTGATTACTACTAGCCAGGGTGGTGAGAGGTGCTTCGTCGAGCTGGCCTCGTCACATCTCGCCCATTGTTGGTGCGCCCAATCAGCGGTTTGTGTGGAGGGCGCAGAGGCGAGACGTCGCTTACGGCGACCGAGGGAACTGCCTGCACCTCGCCAGGATCGCACGTCTGTAATTACTGCATCTGGGCTTCAAGGCCAGTTTATCGCTCGTTACGGCGTAAAATACACTCTCTATCTGCTCTTCGAACCACATTTCCTCCGTCTCTGGCGTTGTGCGCTGAGCCGTCGCTGGCGGATGAGGCTCTGCTCGGCTAAACCCTAACAAAATAGGAATGAGTCCGTCGCGTATACAGCGGTCGCGATGACAAGAATACGATGAGATTAACCACAGAATATTGCAAACTATTACTGCAATAGCCTCGTAGGCAGAATGCTAGACGAATAAACCATGCCCATATGCACTGTCATGACGTCGTCACAAAAATCAGATAAAAATACATGCAGAGAACAAAACGGTATCCGATGCAGAAACACTTGCCCATCAAAAACACAATACTTTTAAAACGCCATGCCCAAGATAACAACGATCCATCGCAAGAGAAACCACAAAATCAAGACAAGACAATGCAGATATCGCACTTCGCCATTTCACAAGACAAGATACAGAATCACAATGTAGAGCTTGGCCACGCCCGAAGATGAGATTAACCATTTCTTGACCACCGAGGTCAAAGGACAGATGGATCACCAGTTAACCGAAGCACAGAACCGAATCGTAATGACAAGTCCTTGTGGACGAGAAGTATGTAAACGCGATCGACGCGAACCAAGGCGATAGACGATCAAGACGAAGAGGGCAGTGCTGAGTGAGACGAGATTCAACGATCATGAGCGAGATTGATGGAAGGAGATGAACGATCAGGAGGTAGAGTGTGTGAGAGATATATGAGAGGAGATGCAGCGTTCATCAGGTCCATTAGGACTCTTCCTTCAATCCGCAAAAGTCCGTGCCCAAGATCTGGTCGATCATGTACCAAAAGCGCCAGTAGAGATTCGATTTCTGGTAGTCGAAAGTGCCGTCTTCGCGAAACTGCGGGCCGTCACCAACAATGTCGCCAGTGAACCATGATAAGATAGGGATGGAACGAAGTATGCGCTCGCTGACGGTCGGCTGAGGAGGCAGGGCCTCGCTGATCGGACGGAGGACCGCACGACGGACGGTGGGGATGTGTGTCATGAACTCGGATTCGGGTTTCGACTCCTGGACAGGTCGCTGGCGGAGGGCGGGAGCTTGCTCGGTAGCCGTTGCAGTGGCGGAACTTGCTGTTGCAGTAGACAGCTGAGAATCTTCCTCATCCATATCGCCAACCGTCGAGAGATTATTCATGGTGAATGAGCGAGGCATGGTCGAACGTTCCGGTTCCTTGCTATGCAGGAACGAAGTCGAGTGAGACGACGTGAGAGTGTGATGGACTTTCGACCGGGTGCGGTTGGCTTCAGCCGATCCTTTCGGGATAGGAATGTCTTCAGCAGGTCCTTGCCCGTGGTAGAGCTCGCAGAACACAAGGTGGCCGTCGATTTCTTGCGGAGAAAAGAAGCAGGCGCGATCGGCCGCGGTGGTAGAGTCAAACGTGACCTTGATCCAGTGGTAGCCCCCGGCATATCGCTTCGACTTGCGATTGGCATCAGCGGTCAGATTGGCGCGAATCACGACGTCGCCACCGCTGAGCAGGTGAGAGGATTTGTTCGTCGCATTGGGGTCGCTGCGGGGGTAGTCTTCACAGATCATGCCCTGAGAGATGCGTTCGTATTTGTCGATGACCTTCCACTCGGAGTCCTTGTTCTTGTAGCCATAGAGAATGCATTCAGTCGCGACCTTTTCGGTCGGCTTCCTGGACCCTTCAAGACTCGACGACGATGACGATTTGGGCAGGCTGCTGTGGGCGCGCTCCTCTTCTTGCTGCTGTGCAAACAGGCGGCTGAACTCGGCGACGTTGGGATTCTCCTTCTTGGCAGGTGTTCCAGTGCGAGTGCGCGATCGCGCGTGGTCGTAACGAGCGTTGCGTCTTCGGCCAAACGGCCCGGTCTCTTCTGGCGGTCTTCTGGGATTGCGAGATTCGCTGGGCAAAGGAATCATGTCAGCGAGAGTTCCAGTCAGTGCGATGTTTGGTGGTGGGAAAAACCCACTCCTTGTAGATATACCCCCATGGAAGGAGGTTTCCTTTCTCGTCTCTTGCGCGCTCCTCGGGGGGCACAAAGTGGTACTCCATCGTGGAGGCCTTGGTCCGGACCGATGTGGTGGTGAGAGAAAGAGAGAGTGGCCAATGTGGTTGGGATGGCGCGGCGAATTGTTTTCTCCCTGGCACACTCGGGCCGCCGTCACTAAGGAAACAACATACGCGTTAGCCTCTTCGGGTTAGGTTGTCACGTGCACGGGCCAGCCCCAAGTCAGGGTTATCAACGGCCAAAAAGGGAAATACTGTTGACACTCACCAGATGTGACGACGGCCCTCTTTAACACGCCTGCGCGGCCAGCAGTTCCTGGAGGAAGCGGCGGGCACTGTCCCACGCATGACAGGCTTCCGCCTGCCGACACCATCCTGCACGTGCCAGGAGGTGCTCCAGGGCAGGCTCGTCGATCGCAGTCAGTCCATCTGCCCAGATATCGACGGCCGCTCGGTACACGTCTTCGTTCTGCATGATCTGGGCAGCCATGGACCGCAGGAAGGAACCGTCTGGCCCTTGCGGGCAGGAGTATGGGACCGGGACCGAACCAGGTTGGAACCGGCGCTTGATTTCCAGCATTGGGTTCGGCTCCCATACTCCACGACGATTGCCTTCCCAACCAACAACTCTGCCTCGGCCAGTAAGTGCGCGTGGGAGCATCCAAATACTGGCCGAGCAGGACCTCCCAGGCGGCCGGGTAGGTCCTGGAGAACTCCAGCAGGTAGCGAATGGCCTCGTCTACCTGCTCCTGCGTCCGGCCCACAGGAGGTGGACCTTGGCAGGCAGGAAGAGACGAATCTCCTCCTGGGAGCCCGGGCATCATCGTTGTTAGCACTGCCTCGTCGAGGCTGCAGATTGACTGCTGGCCGGCAGGTGCAGGAGGAGCCTCCTCCCCCGGCACAGCGGAAACTTCAGACGTCCCGAACCCGACGTCTTCCATCTCTGCATCGTCAGGGAGCTCACGCCTCACAGTCACGGACGATGCCAATGACTCCCTCATATCCATGACGAAGTCTCTTCCGAAAGCCGAGTCAATGGCATCGTCCGAGATGTCGGACCGGTCCAGCTCGACAGCATATGCGGGCTTGCGCCAGGGATCACCCTGAAAGTCCATGCCGTCGCCGACTTCTTCCTCCTCGTCAGATTCCGACTCGTCAGAGTCGGAATCGTCAGAGTCGGAGTCGGACTCCAACGTGACCTCCGACCTGAACTCGAAGAAGGAACCACCCTTCTGCTGTTCCTCGATCTCCTTCTCGAACTCTGTGAACCCGGAAATCCCGGAGAGGTTGGAGAGTTCGGAGATCTCAGACAGCTCGTCCAGGCCATCATCAGCCAAATAGTAGCCGGATGAGCTCACCTCGGCCTCAGATCCAAACTCAGAGGCATCACCCTCGTACTCGTCCAGATCCTCATCGACCGAATTGCTGACGTCCGAGGGGTGCCGCGAGAGCGTGGTTGGGTGCTCGCGGCGAAGGTCCTCCTGCGGTTCCTCGGCTGTACAGAATTGATTAGCAAAAATGAACAGAAGATAAAGCAGATATTGGCATTGAGATGGCCTGATGTAGCCTTTGTTGCCATCTTGCCACCGCGCAGGATCAAAAGAGGGATACTTACACTCATTGCTGAGTCCGAGGTATTGTCTGACAATCAGGTTCACTCGTCGGAACATCTTCTGAAGATGATTTGTTAGTGAGGTGGTCGATATAACATGAAGATTTGAGAGTGAGAAAGAAATAAGAGGAACAACACATGCGTGAAATTCAGGCAGGAAAGCCAACAATCAGTAGGGAACAAGATAAAGCCTCATTCCAGAGGCCTTGAGGTACATGCAGTGTAAATTGGGACAGGCAAACCTGATGGGCAGAAAAAAGATGTAATGTACGGGTTCGATGCTATCTGGCATGAAGCTGGGCAACATGAAGGGACTTGAGGCATGAGATCCTCGCACAAACACCAGGGAGATGATAGAAATCAAAGAGGAATTGAAAGGATGATCACAGCTCGACGTACCCATGAGAAGCAGGGAAAATTGCTTGTTGAAAGGATTTAAAAAAAAAAGGAGTTCGCGGAGGTTTTCGAGCGTTTGATGACTTTGAAAGCGTGTGTGAGACGTACGTAAAAAGCTCTTAGTTGAGAGACTACAAAAATTTGGAGGAGAGAAGGAGAGATTTATATCTACAAGCTATCTACGAGAAATTTAGCTACTACGCGCCAGGAAACACACGACACCATTAGCAGTCACTGTCAACAAGGCTCTAAGCGCGTTAGTAAACCAATCTGTTGACCAAGGGAGGAGCATCTAGGCCC